CCCCAAAACCCCAAAACCCCAAAACCCCAGAGTTAAATTTAAAGCAAAATCTGATGATAATTAAATATTTGATGATTATTCCCTCATTAATCAATCTTTTTAAGAAGAAAACTAGCTCCAAAAGCAGCCATATTCATGATCATAAGAATAATTAGGGGGATTGATTTGTTTGGTATCTCAACAACAATCGGAATAAAAAGCATAGCAATCCTTGAAAATACTCCACAAATACCGTAGCTAGTTGCAAGGATTCGAGAATCAAATAGATATATATGAGACACATATATCCCTGAAAAACTCATGCACACAAAAGATTTCAGCATGAAAAAAATAAGAGCATATATGTACACGCTGATTGAATTTGGGTCAATAAAAATTATCAAGATTATCAAAATGGAGGCAACACCATATGAGATACTTAAGCATCGTAAAAATCCCAGCCTCTAGACTACTATGTCAGAGTACAGATATCCAAAGCAAGAAAAACCCATTGCAACACCAATGACATATATGTTGGCTTATATGTACTTGATATAGAAGTTGAAAATGAAAAATGAGGTGCTTGTTGAAATCCAGCATATAACTATAAGCGATAAATTCCATATGGTATATTTCGTAGTGAAGAAAAGTTTAAAAATGCTTTACTTTTCTACTTTTATCTAATCTGCCTTGCTTACTTCTTGTTATTATTCTTATTACTAGGCATATTTATCAATAAGTTCTGCAACATTTAGATAATCAACCAATCTATCTCCGTTTTCCTCCATAATCTTTTTAGAATCAATCTTTGCTCTTTCATAATTACCTTAAGTCAAGGTAAATTTGAGGGACTCTGGAAAGTATATAAATTTTAAAGATGCTATAACAGTGCAAGTCATGATCAATCCTATCCAAGCAAATACTTAAGTATTCCTTGTTATATAGTATAAAATTAATGGAGAGATTATAAAGTTAAACGAATCTATGCAAAATAACCAGCCAGTGACGAATGAACCTCTTTCTCCAATGAAATCCATCATATGTGAATATGCTATGAAATTCTTGTTAGCAAATGTTATTCCTAGAATTATAATTGAAAAGTAGTAGAGCATTTCATTCTTAAATACTAGAATAATGAGAAATGCAAAAATTTATGACAAAGCCCCAATTATAGTAAACCATCTTCTTCCGTATTTATCAGCAAGAGGTGTTAAAAACACACTGGCAAAAAGTTATCCAAAGAAATCCATACTCCCAAATAAACCTATATAGAATGAATCAGAGCACATTAAATCTAGTCTAGTAATCCAATTCTAAAGTGATATATCATTCTTTTCATCTATTCTCCATTATTTAATAAGACCATCTTAGTTTGAACATATCTGCTCCCTTTGGCATTCTATGTAGGTCACTTAGTCTTTAAATATGCACTCATATTTCGGATACATCAAAATATAGCCCAAATTGAAGGTTATATATGCAGCAGAGTAAAAATGCAGGAATATTAGGAACATAAATCTATAATGAAATCTCCCAAAAGGTATTTTATCTATGATGTCTTAAGCTCTGATTTTCATCTAAGTAAACTAAATCAAAGGAGTGAGCTACTCATTTACTATAGGGTTTTCTTCATTTTGATTGGGTGATTTTTGTAATTCAATTTCTTAAAGATCTTTCATTTAAATTCAAATCTATTTAAATAAAAATCAGTTTTAATATTAGCTATGAAACAAACCTTATGTGGTATCAGGGGTTTTGGGGTTTTGGGGTTTTGGGG